TACATCTGGGTCATGCATTTTCCTAGGCTCTGATATTATCTCCTGGTGGTCTAGGAAACAACTGAGGGTAGCAAGATCTTCAGCTGAAGCTGAATACAGAAGCCTAGCAGACACTACAACAGAACTTTTATGGGTTCAATTTTTACTCAAAGAACTTCAAGCCCCTTTTATCACTCCAAGAATTTACTGTGACAATCTCAGCACTGTACAACTAGCTCACAATCCTGTCCTACATTCTGGCATAAAACATATGGAAATTGATCTTTTCTTTGTCAGAGAGAAAGTTCATCTCACACAGCTTGAAGTCTTTCACATTCCAGCCTCCCAACAAATTGCAGATGTGTTGACTAAGCCTCTATCTGCTTCCACCTTTCTTGAGTTCAAAGACAAACTGAGTGTGATTGATTTTCCAGTTCAATCACCCTCAATTTGAGGGGGGAATGTTAGGAATAGTATATAGAAGCTACACATACATTGCTTTGTAATTAGTATTAGTTGGGCTTCTGTTATATTAGCTGCAGTTAGTTACAACCATAGCTTCTATAAATACTCTGTACACTTTCTATTTTTCAATAAGATGATTTCACTCCTTTCTTCTACCTTGCTCTATTTCTAAAATACAATGTGTATACTACTGTCTGTGTATATGCCGTAATTATCTCCGTGTCCATATACTTGTGTCTGTGCTTACCACCTGGTCTTGTATGTGCACATACATACAATATTTATTCATTTGAATACATTAATGTTTTTCAGATGGAGAAATTCAGCAAAATGAGAGTGAAGTTGTTTATTTTATAAAAGCTCCGTATGTTGGTATAGAATTTGGTAACAAAGAGCGGTTTATAATTTTTACAAGGCATATGAGAAGCGTTTAGGATTTCCTATAAGAACTAGGAGTACAACGAAAGACAAAAAATGGAGTAGATATAGAGGGAGTGTTACTAGAGTGTTCACGTGCTAGTAGTAAATGTAGTAAGTCAAAAAATCAATTGAAGCCTCAACCTTCAATGCAAATAGGGTGCAGAGCGAGAATATGAGCACACAAATTATATGGGACGTTAGGAAATTTCAAAAATATGTCTTGAGCATACCCATCCTATGAAGGCTCACCTATTCCGGTGCAATAGGAGTTTAACTCCCCAAATGATGAGGCAACTTGAAATCAATGATGATGCAGGATTATGACTTCATAAAAGATTCAATTCAGTCGTTGTTCAAGCCGGTGGATATGATCAACTTCCATTTATTGAAAAAGATTGTAGTAACTACATTGATAAGGTGAGACAACTTAGGTTAGAGAATGGTGATGTCATGACAATTCAAGGATTTTTTTTTTTGCTACAATGCAAGCTCAATATCCTAGATTTTTCTTTACCTTTGACTTAGATGAAGGGTCACAGTTGCGTAATGTCTTTTGGACCGACAATCGATGTAGATATGCATACAAAGATTTCGGAGATGACATCACGTTTCACACAACTTACCTTACAAATCGGTATGACATGCCTTTTGCAGCATTTGTCAGCGTTAATCATCACGATCAATCAATTTTGCTAAGATGTGGATTAATCTCTAGTGAATATACTCAAACATTCGTGTGACTGTTTAAAGCATGGCTCGAGTGTATGGAAAGATATTCTCCGATGGGCATTATTACGAATCAAGACCGTGAAATGCAAAACGCCATCAACATTGTTTTCTCAAATACAAAACAGTGATGTTGTCCATGTCACATTATGAAAAAGGTATCTGAAAAACTCAAAGGAATTACAAGAAAATAAGAAATCTTGAATGCTATTCATGAATCCATTTATGACTCACAATATGTTCCCGAATTTAAGCATAATTGGAAGCACATAATACAAATGCGCCCCTTTTCCTTTTAAAGTTGACTATAACAGAAACATTTTGTCTGTGTAAAAAATATATTTTCATTTCACAGGACATAATAAATGTACTGCACAGACAATATATTATTTGTGGCAAAGAAGATATTGTATTTGTTCTAATATTGTGTGATCATAACAAAAACATATTGTCTGTGGAATAAATATATTTTCACATCACAGACATAATTAATGTACAACAGAGACATTATATTATTTGCGAGCAGATAAAACATTGTAGTGTATGTTCTAATATTGTGCGATCATAACAGAAAGATTTTGTTTTTGCATGAAATATATTTGTATGTCACATACATCATAAATGTACACCACAGACACAATATTGTTTGCGGGCAGACAATATATGTATACTTCACAAACACAATGTGTACCTGACAAACATTAATGTTATTTCAGGTTTTCACTAGAAGATCATGAATGGCTTGGAGTGATGTACAATGAACGATATCGATTGGTACCATGTTACTTAAAATCAACATTTTGGGCGGGTATGTCTACCACTCAATGAAGTGAGAGTATGAATACTTTTTTCGATGGGTGTGTGAATTTGAAAATCAATTTTAAACAATTCGTTAAACAATATGGACGTGCTTTACGGAATAAGGTGTAAAACGAATTTCTCTCCGAAAAAGGTGTATTATGATCTCCTACAAAGGGAAGATGGTAGAAAATTTATGGTGAAGGAGGATAAAACCATTAATGGCTTTGAGAAGACCGGTAATTTCATTGTTGAATATGACCCATTAACTAGTTTTGGAATATGTAGTTGTCAATTGTTTGAATTTACAATTCAGCTTGATTGTGGTCCTAATTCGGCTTGGATTGTGGTCACTTGCTTGAGGTGTACCTAATGAGAAGGAGGAGGAAAGATGTGAAAAGAGCTTACACGAGAGTGGAAATCCATTATGATGCGTGGATCACAACGATGCTTTCACAAGTTGTGCAGTATGTCTGAATCACTTGCAAACATTATTGCGGATGATGATGAGAAGTACCAAAACGTCCTCCTTTGATTGGAGACTCAATTGTCTACATATAATTCACAAGCTAATCGTTCTTCTTTATGTGGCGAGATAACATCTGTCCCACAATAAGTAGTGGTGTGCAAGGTGAGATTTCATAAACAATTGGAGATCCTAAATATTCAAAGTGCAATGACGCATAGAGAAAAAACCGGCAAAAGGAACCATTGGAGAAGGAGAATAAGAAAATAAGGATTATGAATGATAATGCATGTACCCCACAACCAACCGCTCTACATGCCAATGGACAAGAGGATCATAATGATAGGGTGTATTGTAGTGATTTTGATTTAAATCTTAGCTTGTTTTAAATGCATATGACATATTTTGCATGTCTTTTGGGTATTAGACTTTCTTATGGTATATTATCAAAATACTTGTATTTGACTTTCAAAATGGTTAGAAAAAGAAACATATTGTCTAGGGCAGACAAAGTTTTTGTTATTCACAGACACACATACTCTTTGTGGGCAGAGAATACATTGTATGTTATTTTTGTGAAAATGTTAGCCATTTACTTTGGGCAAGGGATGTGAAAATGTATTTGTTTTTTAGAAACAGATATATTGACACTATAGACAATGTTATACATAGGTCATACAAATACGATACAAAACACAAACAATTATGTATCAAAGCACAAACAATAGAATTAATAACATAGACAAGCAATGTATCAAAGAACAAACAATTATGCATCAAAGCACAGACAATAGAATACACAACACATACAAATAATGTATGAAAGCAAAAATAATTATGTATCAAAGCAGAGAGAAATTATTATATATTAACGCCAATGGACAATAGGCTATTCCTGCACAAACAAAAGGTCATACAATTGCAGGTCATATTTGACAGTACATTCTAGGACATTGTACAACATCGTTAGTGCAACATTATACAATTGAAAGTATTGTTTCCCAATTCATTGAGTTTCGCACAGACCAATGCAGTCATAGAGACAAATGTTGAGACAAATGTTGAGTTTCACAGAGACAAATGCAGCCACAAAGACAAACATTGAGTTTCACAGAGACAAATGCAATCACAGAGAAACATTGAGAGACAAACATTGAGTTTCATACAGACAAATGTAGAGTGACACAGACAAATAAATATCTTCTCACAGACAATCATATATATCTTCACACAGACAAATATATAGATAATCCCACATACAGATGTTAAACTCCCCAGACAAACATATATTTATCTTCACATAGACAATACATACATCCTCCAACAGAAATATTGAATCGTACACAGACAAATTCATATCCCCTCGACAAATACATAGCCCTAAACAAATGTATATTGCAAAATACATATACCCACACACAAACAAATACCCGAGTACATATCTTCAAAAACAAATGTATATTGTAAAATACAAACCCTAGATAGGTTGACAAACTTTATCAACAAGAGCATCTTGCTTAACCATCCAAATAAACTTCATCAACTTCATCAAAACTTTAATGTGTAAAACTTGAAGGACACCAGATACATACCTTTCGTCCATGGCAGAAAGTCTGGTTCGCACCATATTCGTTGTTTCTTCAACAACTTCAACTTCGACTTCGCACTTAAGGTCAAAACTCATTCGCACCTAATGACCTTGTTTGCAGAGACGAGGTTGGCATGGATGTCGTTTGCAAAAAAGAAGGGGTTAGAGGTGAGGAAAGAGGTAATTTTTGTGAGAATATTTAGTGTGTAGTAATAATATGTACAGAGCTTTTTTGTCCAAAAGGTGGAATCTCCCACCCCAGGAGCCCCCCATACCCCGACCCGACAGGATTTTTGGGAGGATGTTAATCACGGTGACTCAGTCGGTCCAATGATGGTAGGCCTTTTTCCCGTGCGCACCAGAGGTCCAGCCTTATTTCAGGTTCTGTGACCTCCACACGGTCGCTGCGCGTTTCGAACCTTGGTCATTTAGTCCAAATTTCCCACCACTCAACCAACTGAGCTACACGTGCTGCGGGTATGAGACGTTTTTCATAAATTGTTTCGAAAGTGTCTATTTATAGGTTGGATTAATATGGAGCATATAAAATACTCCGTAGAAGAGTATAATTTACTAAAAACTACTCCGTATTTGATGAAGTGTGGAAAGGAGAAAACGAGAAGAAACAAAAATGTCGTCGTTTCAGCTCCACCTTGCCCGGTACGGCCACTTACCATCTTCTCTCCCAAATCTTTCACCACTTGCGACCTTTTCAAAGTTTCATCACTCACTTGCAGCCCCAAGACAGAAGAATGGTTGCACGAAAGGGATATCGCCGGCGAGCGCAAAGCGGCGGGCGATGTCATCAAGCAAGATTACCTTCCATCGTGCAATTTCAGCCTCGCTCGATTTAACTGAAGACAATATCAAGCAGGTCTTGGTTGAAGCTCGGACAGAGGTAACTATTCTCACACTACTATTGGACGGAAAGGGGGAGATCTAATCAATAGAGGTTTTGTTGGGATTAAAAACGGGTAAATAATAGAGTGGTAATGAGAATTGAGAAGGGTGCAGGTTTTTGGGTATGGGTTTGATGCAGGTTTTAAGATAATTAAAAAAGAGGAAGAAGGGTGCACAAAAATTAAGAGGTGGGGTAGATAGATAAAAGGATAAAGTTGGAAAATAAAGAAATTAATGGAGAATCGGTTGAATCGGCTGATTCTGTCGAAATGTATGAAGTTCTGGCGGAAGAGGCCGGATTGGCTGAAAAGTTATATTTAAAATATACGGAGTATGTTATTAATAAAATACAAAAAAAATAACATGAAAAATAGTTAAAATAATCATCTACAGTAACTAGTAACTTGACCCAATACAGTCAGAAAATTCACTACAACCTTACTTTTTCTTACAAAATCCAACGCGCAAACTTAAATGTTACGTGTTTGGTGAAAAAGTTGACTAATAAGCAGAAAAACTGGATTACCAAACGGGCTCGGAGTTGAACAAGGAAAATCATCATATTTAGGGGTGTTTGGAACTGATTCTGATTCTGCTTCTGCTTCTTTTTTAAAGCAGAAGCAGAATCAATATCAATTTTCAGAAGCTGGTCACTCCAGCTTCTAAAAAAACTGATTCTAGGAGTAAATTAGAGCACCAGAATCACTTCTGCACTTTTACCCAAACACTCCAACTTCTACTTACTCCCTAAAGGAGCAGAAGCAGTTTTAAGAATCAAATCCAAACACCCCCTTAAGATGTTTTTTGAATTGTTTCCAGTGTCAGTTCAGACAAGACTTAAACAAATCAGACCACACTGAAACAGATCAGACCAGACCAGACTTTTATAGTTATAAAATACAGAGATCAGACATTTACCAACCAATTCAGACCATATCAAACTTCCAACGCACCAGACCAACACATTTCAATCCAAAAGAAAACATTCTTACAGGAACAATCCAAAAACAAACGTATCTTACAAAATGGGGGAAATGGTGTATCACTTACTTTTGCTTTGACTGAAGATGAGTAGCTGATCTTTCAAAATTCAAAATTATCCGTTTCAACCCATTGTTTACCCTTCAATATAACTTCAGCTGATTTTGGTGGTTGAAATAGTTGAACAATCATTAAATTCTTAATTCCAACTTGGTTTGATCTTTCAAAATATCCATTTAGTCCCCTACAAGGATTCCATTCTAACTGCATTATGAAGTAATTGAATTAGTAGTCCTTAACATTTTCATTTGCTGCGCAGCTTTCTCAACTGTTTGATATCTCAGTTGGGATTACAGGTGATTCCTCAACCTCTTCATGGGATTTCAGGAGTGGTTTGTTTATACTTTGTATACCCCGAGTGGTGTTCTAATATGAAGAGGTTGTTGGGTGTTATAAACAGGAAAAGTAGAACTGGCAGAAGTAGATGGACCGTACGTGAAGATTAGTCTGAGTGGCAAGTTTTGGCATAAACGTTCCACTGTTGTAGCTAGGATTGGAAATTACCTAAAGCAAAGAATCCCTGTAAGAATCTCTCACATTTCATTTTCAGTATAAGAATATAAGATTTAAACCTATGTCTGTACACCAAAACTTTGTTTGCTCTAATATGATTTTCTTGGCACTGTTATCACTAACATCACCTTAATGGCTTAATGCCAACTATATTGACATATTGGGAGGGATGTGTGTGATGTGAACAAGACAATATCACTTATGAGCAGACCATATTGGACCAAATGAGTGCGGAATAATAAGATCGGATCAAGCCGTATAAAGCTGAATCGGACTATATTCGTTAAGTTATACAGCAATCTAATTTGAAAGGATGGATCAAATCTAATAAAAAAGTGGAATAAGCTCGGTCATTTTTTGAAGAAAAGAAAGAAAAACAGGACTGTAATATTAAGGTTTAAGTTTCATTTCTAAATGATCTATATGATAAATGAGTAGTCAAAAGACTGTCGTCTTATGGGATATGTTGAATCATCCCACACCAATTTAAATATAAAAGATTCACATATAAGATCACTGCCTATTCATTCTTTATGGTAGTCCTTATCCAAATGACAATAATACCACATCCAGACTACTGGACCAGACAAGACCATGGAAGGATTTATAGGAAACTATGTTGAGGAGTTACGAAAATGATGTGGTCAATTGATTGGTAGTGTTGTGTTGAAAATTAGGAGCTTGTAAATTGTAAAGTAATGTTTTAGAACACTCAAGTTCTTTTGCACATGTAGTATGACTTTACAATAAAATCATGAAAAAAGTGTTAAGGTAACAAAGTTCTGCACTTTATGCACTTCATTTTGTAACTCTTTTACAAATTTACAAAGGAATGATGAAACGGAACTCCAAAACTGCCCCCATTGCCATCACATTCTTTTGTTCACATGCTTTTATACAGTCATGTCTCATTTCAAGATTGACGTTGTAAAAATAATATACATGTCATGATGCATGGATGTCTAACTTATATTCTGTGTTGTATATAATTAGGAAATCCTAGAGGTTGATATAGAAGATGAGCAGCAGTTGGATGATAGCCCTGAAAACTTCTGAGTCTCTTTGAGCTGAGGCAGCACTGACCCTTCCCAGTGGCTTCCCATCAAACTGAACCACCCACTTGAGCTTCCAAAGCTTTGAAATATTTTCCAATTGTTATATCATCGTCATATTTTACTGTGTTTAAGGACATCACAACATTAGTAGGGTTTTGGCCTCCCCACCTAAGAGACAGACCACCGGGTACCTCATTTTCGCTTCATGGCATGCTTTGGAGTGGGCTGTGGAGTAGTTCATAGGGCAGGAGGCGAGAATCTACTTTTGGAGCAAGTACAATAGTAGCCGTGGACTTATGTAATTAGAGTATCATCGATGAACTCTTCTTATCTTAGGTAAACAGGTCGAGCAGAATATTGAATGTAACAAGGCAAGTGTGAAGATACCTAATGTTGCATTGATTGTCCACTCTCAGTTCCTCATGGTTATTATCAAACATGTTTGGAGATTGTAAAGGCTGGTTATTACTCCCGCCGTCCCGCAAAATAGTTCCCGGTTATCTTTTTGGGCCGTCCCAAAAAACAGTTCTCATTCCCCTTTTTGGAAAGTTTTGTATGACTCACATTCATTTACCTTTTCTTACTCAACCATAATCATACATTTCCATTTTATTCTCATTTTCTTAAACTCCGATCCAACTCAATAGGAGGGGGAGTACTTTTGGAAATTCACGAGAAGGATGTTTAAGCACAAATTGAAGTGCTAGAAATTTTAAGTCCAGGGAATGTAGTGACATCCCAAAATAATCTCATATTCTCATTACGAAGACACATTGACAAAAAATTGAGTTTAAATGAAGTTGTGACTAATCCCCAAAATTCCGCATTGTATTAAACATACCTGGTTTTAGACTTGGATTCGGGCCGGGTGGCCCAACCCGGAACCGGCCCGGGACTGGTACTGTTCCGGCCCAGCTCGAACCGGTGGCCCGGTCACTGATCGGTTCGGGTAGACCCGACCTGATGAGTTTCCGGTCCGGGCTCGGGTCACCCAAAACAAAGCCTGGCCCGGGCCCAGTTCGGGCCAAATTGATTTTTTTTTGGTTTTTTTCATTTGTTTGGGCTTCACCCGGGTTGGGCTTGATGTTTAGGACGGGTTTGGGGGGTTTGAGGGGGGGTGGGGGTGAGGGGGGTCAGGGATGGGTAGGTAAGCAAAAAAAATTAACCAAACCCGAGGCCCGGACCCAGTGGCTACCCGGGCCGGTCCCGGGTCCAGCTATTCAGAACCGCCGGCCCGGCCCGAGTCCAAGTCTACCCGGTTTGGTCTGGTTTGTTATGTTCAGACTTGAGATTGAACAGTTCAAATAAAAACATCCTAAACTCTAATTTTATACACCTTCATTGAAGTAACATGCTATTGCAACAAGTAAGAGCGGTCCAAGTAGCCTACTTCCCACACTTAGGGGTTTGTTTGGTGACTATGTTTGCTACGTATTAGTCTTTTTAGCCATTTTTTTACCAATACGTAATTTTTGATTTAACGCACTAGATTGTTTAATAATCAAAATAAGTAATGTTGAACTTATTTTTCTGGTTTAATTAATTGGAGTTAAAACTCTCGTCTACTACTCTCCGGTCAATGTAAATTGTTCGTAGGGGTGTTTGGTAAATGGCATTTCAGTTGAATAATGACAGTATGATCATTTACAATAAGTAAAAAGTTGTTAGGTAAATAGTGTAGTTTTTTCAAATTTGATTTTTCTTTTTGCAACTTTGAAATAATGTAAGTTTATTTACTAAAAATAATCTTATTAATGAGTATGATCAATTAATTTTATGGTCAGTCAAACATCGTAAATCGCACGGGAACCTTTAACTGGGATGGTGGGAGTATCTTATATATAACTTTTCCATCATTCATCAGATTCAGTCAATTAAGACGATTCAATTAATTTCAGTGCTACTAAACGGGCTCAAGGTCATCCCTTTATAGAGGTCTTGAGTTAAAGTCATTACTAACTTAAATTTGAGTTGGTTTCTCAAATGATGATCCTCTAGCATTTCAGGACTAGCTTGAATGGTCGCCCAATCAACGCTCCGTCTCAACTGAAGCAGCAGTGTGTGAGTTAGCTTTTTGGTGCGGACTCGGTAGTGTTCGATAAATAAGTGTTGATTCTTGCGAGAGATTTGCAGAATTGCAGGGAAGTTGAGTACACACTCAATCGATTAGTTAAGAGTAATTTTTTGTGGACGATGGGGTGAGTATATGATAATGGAAACTAACTAGTACTACCACCATTCCAAAAAATATTCCTCATTTTGATTTGACACGCTTATTAAGAAAATGAGAACAAAGTGAAAATGCATTATCATGGTTGAGTAAGAAAAATGTAAATGAATGTGTGTCACACAAATCTTTCTAAAAAGGGAAATGAAAAAAAAAATTGGAACATTTGAAAATGATAAGTGAAAATGATAAGTGAAAAGAATTGTTTGAGAGTGAAGGACTAATTGTTTTTGAAAGTCTCGATTAGGTGGAGCTAAAAAAATACTCCGGCATCCTTTTGCGTTGAAAATTTTCTTTTTAGATAGGATGAATGCAATAATATCCTGACAATCAAGCCACGTGTTATCTCTCTATTTGACATCTGGATCCCATTTTTATCTGTAATAGATGGTATGGATTTATATTGTCCAGTAGTCCACTTTTTTGGTTCCTTCACTGTGAACCACAAAACACTTCTGGTGGTTTAGGCTTGGCCATAATTTGCCACCTCTCCTCTTTGATTCTCCCTGGTACACCATATTCAACTCATTTGTCATCACAAATAAAAGATCAAAGAAATGGCAACACACACTCTCATCTCTTCATCATCCATTGCCTCTTCAGCTGAGGCTGCTTCAAGACAGATACTTGGTGGAAGGTGGTCTGTCCAATCTCCCAGGAAGCCTACATTTATTGTCAGGGCTGCTTCTACTCCTCCTGTTAAGGTGCCTCACTCTCCCCCTTCCATTGCTAGAGGCTCCTCTAATTAATTTTTGTTGAATAAAGAAATGACCATCCATATAAATTTTGAGAGTAATTTTTTACATAAGAAAAGCTTTTTTTGCTGAAAGATTGTCCCCAAGCTGCACTATTGATTTCAGCATCAGCATCTTTTTTTTTTGGAGGGTGTACTCTGTGGCTATTTGGTGAAGTTTGAACTTCACTACTGTGGAACTAAAGTTCAACTACTTGTACTGACCAAATTCATCACATTTACTTGATCTGGAATTTCAGCAAGGTGCAAATAGGCCGCTTTGGTTTGCATCCAGGCAGAGTCTGAGCTACTTGGATGGAAGGTAAAATTGCGTTTAAGGGTTTGTTTGGGTAAAAAGTTTAAATTTGGGAGGTCTTAGTCTGTATATCTGGATAAGTGCAATGTTTCTAATGTTAAGTTATAACCCTCAGAAAACAAGAACACAAACTCACATAAAGGTCTTTCATTGCCCCCCTATATGATTAAATTCATCTGAACCCTGAGCTTTAATATGTTAAGATAGGAGTAACGTTAATATGGTAAGACTGAAAAAGGCAATTGCCCCTTTCTTTCATCAAGGTTGACTCTTAGATATAGTCCAAGTACCTTCCCTTCAAACCGACCCTTGTGATCCTAATCCTATCTATATGCACGGGTCATTTGAGTTCTCATCTGTCAATTCCTGCACCAATGAACGATACAATCTTACATCTAATATCTTAGTTTGTCATCTTCTCTAATTGAAGTTCAATGGAGTCATTCGACATGGTAAGATTTAAAAGAACTCATAGATTTCAAGATGGGTTTGCTTCTTTATCCCTACCATGGTTGACTCTTAGATATAGACAAAGTATCTTCCATTCAAAAAGGGCATAAATGCATGGTCAATTGAGATCTCATCTGTCACTTCCTGCACCGTGAATGGTACATGCCTACTGTCAATGGATAGACATCCTAAGGTCTCAAATGCAGCATGCATTTGACATTGTTCTTTGTGATCAAATTTATGACCCAAGAATTCACAAACAATGATGACAGCCTCCCTGGAGACTATGGGTTTGACCCACTGGGACTGTCGGACCCTGAAGGACAAGGAGGTTTCATGGAGCCAAAATGGCTCGCATATGGAGAGATCATCAATGGCCGTTACGCCATGTTAGGGGCAGCAGGGGCTATAGCACCAGAGATTCTCGGGAAGGCCGGCCTCATTCCAGCTGAAACTGCCCTCCCCTGGTTCCAAACTGGAGTCATCCCACCTGCAGGAACATACAACTACTGGGCTGACCCTTACACACTGTTTGTGTTTGAGATGGCTCTGATGGGGTTTGCCGAGCACAGGAGGTTGCAGGACTGGAATAACCCGGGTTCGATGGGAAAACAGTACTTCTTGGGGTTAGAGAAGGGGCTAGGTGGGTCAGGTGACCCAGCCTACCCTGGTGGTCCCATTTTCAACCCGCTCGGCTTCGGGGAAGATGCCAAGTCAATGAAGGACTTGAAGGTTAAGGAAATCAAGAATGGAAGGCTGGCTATGTTGGCTGTTTTGGGCTACTTCGTCCAAGCTTTGGTGACCGGAGTTGGACCGTACCAGAACCTTCTAGATCATTTGGCTGATCCTGTAAACAATAACATCTTTACCAACCTCAAACTGCACTAGAACTTCTCTATGTACACATGCTATCTGTAATCAGTAAAATATCTGTTATCAGCGGATGTATTACTTTGAACACCTTTATTTCATTCACACTTAAAGTTGATGCTTTCAATTCTAAAGTATACTGGTTTTGTTTGGCAGCGTTATTTTTTCTTTTTTTGTCAAACAAGCTGATAAGTCAGGTGATAATTGATAATAGGGGCAACAAAAAGATTTATTTGTCTACGATACATTCAACTTAATCATATCCAGCAGCATATTACAATATACCAGACGAGAGTCTTGATTCAAACCAACCTAGATCATATTATAAAGAAGTAAGTGTAAGAGAACATGTCTAGGTAATAATAATAAGAATAAGGGATGACATTGAATCCATCTATTTTTGTTAAGCTAATTCAAAGTGGCCACAAAAAAACAAATACATACTAACATCATATAAAGCCAAACTTACTCCTATTACTATTATATTAATCACAATTCTTAATATAGATTAGAGCCAAAAAAGATCAAACTAGCAATCAAATTCTATCAAGTGTCAAGAATGGGCACACAGATTACAAAATTGTTTTATTCCAACGAACCACAATCTTGCAGACAAATTTAGCTATCTCACCCATGTATCAAAAACAAGATAACCTATAAATCTTGGCGACTCCACATATTTGGTTGAGTTTTAGGACCCCAAATCTTAATCATTTTGGGGTTTATGGATGAATGGTTATCCTTCTACTATTTTCCTAAACTCATTAAAACACAAAGGGAGACAGAGACTTGCGCGCGCGCACACACACACACACATATATATATATATGTATATATATATACATTTGTACTAGAACCCCTGCCTGACTCTTATAACTGAATTTGAATATCTAGTCATCAATGGCATTTATTAGAAAATAGTCTAATTCGACAATAATTATTGATTCATTCAATTGAGGATTAGAAATAAAATTAGTGTCAACATACATTCATTCGAAATTAATTAAAGCCATGAAATTATG